AAGTTTACTTCTTTAGAAGCTTCCTAATTTAAATTGTTAAATAAAATTTCTCAAACTTCCTTCAAAGTGTGATTACATTGACTATTTTCTAGGATACAAACAAGTATCATGGGACAGTATGTCTCACTGGTTGACATTCAGTGCCCCAAATTAGAACCAACTCAAAAGTTATGACCAACCTAGACAGCATATTAAGCAGAGACATTACTTTGTCAACAAAGGTCTGTCTAGTCAAGGCTATGGTTTTTCCAGTAGTCATGTATGGATGTGAGAGTTGGACTATAAAGAAAGCTGAGCGCCGAAGAATTGATGCTTTTGAACTGTGGTGTTGAGAACTCTTGAGAGTCCCTTGGACTAAGGAGATCCAACCAGTCCATCCTAAAGGAGATCAGTCCTGGGTATTCACTGGAAGGACTGATGTTGAAGCTGAAACTCCGATACTTTGGCCACCTGATGCAAAGAGCTGACTCATTTGAAAAGACCCTGATGCTGGGAAAGATTGAGGGCAGGAGGAGATGGGGACAACAGAGGATGAGATGGTTGGATGGCATCACCAACTCAATGGACATTGAGTTGGACATCACCAACTCCCAGAGTCTACCCAAACAGACTCTGGGAGTTGGTGATGTACAGGGAGGCCTGGCGTGTTGCGGTTCATGAGGTCGCAGAGTTGGACACAACTGAGCAACTGAACTGAACATTGTTTAGTCTTCTAGAACACTGAATTTGAGTCCCTACTGCAACATTTACTCATCCTGTGATTTGAGGAGAACAAGTCAAAATGGTCATCAGTTTTCTCATTTGTGAAATAGGATCAACAGCAATCCACCTTTGGGTAAGGAGACTGACTTAAGTTGTACATAAAGCATCAGCGTATTATAGGCACCCAATGAATGATAGCTATCCTCATGGTGAGTTCTTGCAGTGCTGATAGTTTTTTCACCTAGATGATCTCATTATGTGGGCCTTTACTAATTATTGGGCTTTATATATGAACTTCTGCAATTATATTTCACAAAAAGAAAAAAATGATAGCTATTTTGGGGGTTATCTAAATGTTAATTTATGTGATGGTCCCTTTAGCCTGAATCTTTACTAATTGCAAATTCTAATCACATTATTACTTTAAAAGATTAGTTCCACATAGTAAATTGGAGGCTTTCTGCTCCATCCATTGTAATACCTGTTGCAGAAGGAAGCTGGCATCTACGCAAGGTCTCATCCATTGCTAAACCCCCTTCTGTTCAGTCCAAGGCGATGCCAAGGAATTGAGAACAGAAGGTAGAGGAATTCAGCCATGGGATATGGCTGCCCTCTTTCTAAGTAGGTCGGCTCCTGTCAATTTTACACACAGGATTTCATCTTTTAAGAAATATGCCTAAAAGTTTGAAAACCACTGATTGCATATTCAGAGTCTGGATTTTATCATTTCAATGTCCAAGCCCTGCTAAACTGACAAACATGAAAACAGTCATAAGGAAAACACTAGGTGATCATCTTCTTGCACATTTGTATTTACACTTTAAGTTCTATGTACATTTTATGTATATATATATATAAAACAGTGCCACTTCTATATCATAGTACAGCTTTATAGCTATGTGTGCTTACTGCTTATGCTGTTTGGTTGTTCCCAACACCTTCCAAGAATTCTGATTCTACTCATGAAAATTTCAAGATCACAGGAAATATTTAAGGATTGGTATATGAAATCTCTAGTTTTCACTCAAAGGAATATCCTGTATCTAACCCTTCCTGTTTGGTACTACCTTCTGCCACCTTCCCGTACCAACCCCCCCACCCCCCAAGTCAATTTTGTCTGGGACCTTGTCCACTAAATACACTATTTTTCTTGCTGTATAAACCACAAAGGAATAAAGATAAATTTAGAAATTAGTATTTTAAGACAATGATCTTTCTCCAGTAGTCTTTTTAAAGAAAAAACAAAAAAAGTGGAGAGTAAAGCTGGTATAATAAGGGAAGACATGGAGAAAGGAATGGTTCTAGCTGAATGGCAACTAAGCTACATTCACTGAAATTTGTATCCATTTTCTTTTGCAGAGAGGGAGTAGCAACATTAGTGGCTTGACAACCCTACCTTTATCTATTTGTTTAAACAGTAGAAAGCTACAAAGAATTCCTTTAATCATTAACCACACAAATTTCTTTTAAGTCATGCTTAAACAGATACCCATCAATTTGCCAGCATCTAGGAAATGAGTCAAGAGATGGCACCCTTTTTTAAGACAGAAGTCGACAAATTCCTCTTAAACAACCCAAGATGGAAGCCTGACCTGGTTGCCAGCCGCTGCTTGCTTTGCTTACCTTCTCATTGCTATTACTCAGGAAATCAAAGAGAAAGGAGAAATCTGTACCAAGGAAAGGTGTACTTGCCAAGGGAAATGGATGACCCTTTTATATCTAATTTAAAATGGAGCATGCTTTTGATAATGTATCAAAAGCCTTGGAATTAGGTTATCCTCATGACAGTTCTTCCAGCCAATGGCAGCAGTGGAAGGCCTCCAAAATTTGGGTTAAAAACTCATAACAATACCATTTTTTAAAGTCAACTTTATCATTAAAAAAGAAAAAAATTCCTGGACTTTAGCACCATCAAGGGAAATTAGTTTTAGGGCATCATCTTATCTCAAATTTAGAAGAAAAACCAGAATTTCCCATCTCAGTATCTCATTTTATTCAGTAAACTTGATTGCAAATTATTATTAGCAAACTTCAATTGCACCAACACAGGACAATTCCCTAGTTAAGAATATTCAAGACATGCAAGTACTAAGGAGAAGCAGTACAAACATTAGGGCTCCTAAAGTGACTCAGTTCAAGGAAATGAGCCTTTGGAATGATGTGGTCACTTAAAACTAGTAGGAAACCAGTCTGAGGAATTTTCAGAAATGTTAGCCTTTAGAGAAGTGAGAAAGATCGTTAAGCAATAAAACACAGTGAGAGCTTGGACTCTGGAATCAGATAGGGTCTTTAACTTGATCTTTGACCAAATTACTTTTTGTTTCTTCATCTGAAAATGATAAAAGCTACTCATTAGACTGAGAAAATGAGCACACACATACATTTCCTCAGTTATGGTGCGCTTTGCATGTATTACCTTGATTCCCTCAGTTCTGAGGCAGCTCATCTATTTTACAGATGAAGTTAAAAGGTTGAATTCCCAGTTACATGCCTACTTAAAGAGGCAGAGCCAAGATTCTATCTCAAGAATAAGATTCCAAAGCTTCTTTTCTTCTGCTCTATGCTATTATGAAAAACTGTAAAATATGCATTTATTTTAAACCAGGGATTCTTTAAATTTATTAAAGTGATAGCAAGTGTTTATAAATTAGATGTTTTTACTAAGCAGCTTCCTCCAGTTCTACCATACAAAAAGTTTACTGTAATTTAAAACATTTTCAATAGCCTTTATATTAACTTGAAATTTAGCCAATTAAGGCAATTATTAAACCATCTAATTTAGGTACATTACAGAAATTTATTCTTGTAATCACCGACCCACAAATTACAAGCTGAGGAAACAGGTAATTAAAATTGCTTTCACAACACTCATGTTTCTGCTCCTCACAATATATAAAGGAAAACCAATTAACAGAATATGGCTTTTAAACTTTAGTATCCAATTTAACATGCTCAAAAATGAATCATTTTAAAGTTATCTAGTGAAATAAAAATTATTTCAAGTTTATGTAGTCTTCTATTATTTCTAAAATATAAAATAGAAATAACTTCTGCATACTTATATTTTACTATTTATGTCCAATTTTCCTACTCCAACACAACTGCCAGGTAAAAGGTCATGTCCTGATTTTTCTCAGTACATTATCACATCAATGGTCAAAGTGCAGCAGTTTTAGAAAGCCAGAAGGCGGCCAGAGAGTAATCCCGCCTTCATCACCTAGGACACAGAAGTAGGACTTCATTTCATTACCAACAAACGTAATTCAATTGAACAGGCTCATTAAAGAGCTGAGCTTAGCTTTTCTACTGCCTGCCCAGTGTTTTTCTGAGATTTGTAAACAAAAATAAAACACCTGGTTCTGCTTCTAGATTTGCAAACTATTAACCTTAGTATCCAGAGAAAACTGTATCAAGCTGTGAAAAATTACCGTTGTAACTTACAATGACTAGCAACAGGAAGCCTATTTGCAAGAATTGGTTGACTTTGGGAATGAAAAAAAAACAAAAAAACCACAACTTCTTGAAAAGGTAAAATAGCTTAAAGCATTTAATATCTAAACAAATCAACCCATTAATTATAGTAGTCACAAAATATGCTTAATTTAGAAACCCACATTTATGTCTTTAAGAAAAAGGGTAAATTGTAGTTTACCTCAAAACATAAATTAACCCACTTAAAAGAATCTGCAGAGGTCAAAATCATGGTGAATTTCAAACAACTTCAGAATAAAATAAACAAGTATTTTACACTGCTTTATATCTAAAAAATGCTTACAACTTCTCATAAAAATAGTCTGAGGCAACTATTTTCTCTTTTATTCTTTAACAGACATGTTCAATATCATAGGCAACATTCTTAAAACCTTAAGCTTCACGGACTTTTAGACATTCAAATACTATGGTCCCCTTTTCTTTGATGTGAAAGTTTATTCAGCTAGGAAAAAAAAAGCATGGTAGACAACTTATACATTTTTCACCAAATTCAAAGTAGTACAAAAATTTCAAGACTACAGAACTACACATCGTACCTAATGTGTCATTAAAAATAGAAGACAGTATTTTCTTCAGCAAATAAAACAGCATACTGGTATGCCGTTAATGCATAAACCTTTTAATGTATACTGTCATTCACAAATTATTTACAACTTCCACTGTGTGAAGAGAACTAGAATGTAAATTTTCTGCAAAACTGGAAAAAAGCAATACAAAATTTGTGAAAGCTTGTGTTTCATATACAAAAGTAAGCCAGTTTTTCTCTTCAAATACCAGATAATGTACACAGTGATATTTTGGACATATTACAGTAATTCTTGAGGATGTTTTAATGCTGGAGGCAAGTTTACAGGCCTTGATTCTTCATCGAGGAGTACTAAGTCTTCTATTTCACTGCCTCTGTATTTCCTTTTACATATTTTTACCACTACCTTTTTCTTGAGAAATAACTTCAAGGCTTCTCTTGATGCAACTGCTTTAGCATTTTCTTTGCTTTTTCCACAGCCAGTGCCCAAATACACAGACTTACATCTCAATTCACAAACAATACTTTCTTGAGAACTCTTGTTTTGAGGCAGATCTGCCAGTTCTTTTAGTGGGACAAAAAACACATCCAGTGTGGCTTTCAGAGCCTCGACAGCTGCGTTTAAGAGCTCGCCATGATTCACGTTGGGACTAAAGCCACCAACAGCCACCAACTTCCATGCCACTGTTTTATACAGTCTATTGAAAAAAGGTTGTTTCTGTTTCACATCTTCGTTGGTTAACTTGCAACAAGAGAACTTGACAGAACTTTCACTAGACTGCGAAGTACTTTTGGAAGGCAGCTGTGCCGTGCTGATCTGAGTACTACTCTTAGAAGCCAGCTGGGACACACTTGCTATGGCAGTGTTTTTGGAGACCAGAGAGCTGCTGGTGTGAGAGCTGTTCTTGGAAGCTAACAGTGACACAGCTACCTGCGAAGCACTTTTAGAAGTCAGCATTGTGTTCACTGAGGTGCTGCTCTTGGGGGTTAGTGAAGATGTGCCTGATGATGAACTGTTTTTAGAAACCGATGATGAAACACTTGCCTCTGAACTGGCTTTAGAAGTTAACCCGCTGGAAGCTGTCTCTGAACTAGGTTTAGAAGACAGCAGTGGCAGCTCTACTTCTGAGCTTCCTGAGGAGCCCAACAAGGGTACCTCAATCTCTGAGACGCTCTGAGAGGCTGAGGCGGACGAGCCTTCCAAAGCACTCTTTTTCGGCGATCCACTTTGTTGTCTGGAATCAGTAGACTGGGTTACATGACTATTCACACTGGATTTCAACAATGAAGAAACATATGATGCCGAACCATGTTTATCTGGAACTTCTGGTTCAGAAGCTTTGCCAGACCCTACTGTTGTCACCTGAGAGGCAGTGCTGCCGCTGCTCTGGCTGACAACCGCGCGCTCTCCATCACTTGTGGCGCTGCTATTCTGACTGGGGGTGCTGGAGCTCCGAGCTGAGTTCCCACTACTCTCTGATTTGGAAGAGGAACCCGAACAGGCTGAGCTGCTCTCCTGCTGAGCTGATGTTTTAGCGGGAATTTTCAGACAATCTTGCTCAACTGCAGAATTGTTTTTCCCTTCTATGGATCGTTTTTTGGCTGGCTCTTCTACCCCTTCTGAAAAAAGGAAAGCAGATATGTAAGTCTACTTCACACACACACATCAGCTCAAAATGTACAAGACAGATACACATATTAAAACAAAGGTACAAGGTAAGGTGAAATTACTTCAGGATTTGTAGATTCTTTATAAAGTGTGGAATAACTTCATTAATTCTTAAAACAGCATTGAATAACATAATTTCTAACATTAAAAAATTAACAGCATAGGCAACATATGACACTTCGAAATCTCATGGCAGTCAAAGGAAACTATCAAATTCAAAGCCTAAAGCACATAAACACATAATTTAACATTCCAACTTGATTAATAACATTATGAAAATAACTCATTAAAAATTAGTAATAATGATAATTCCTAATTACATCAAACTTAAATTCTAAACTCCTATGTATGTTCACATCTATGATCTGCTAACCATTGCTACTCGATATCCCTCTTTTCTTCACCTTGGCAACCAGTTCGTCTCTTGTGGTATGGATTGGAGCATCTGTCACTTTGATGCCTTCAGCCATACTAAGTATTTTATCCATAACTTTTTGAGGGTACCTGTAACAAGAAGGGAGAGACGCTTCAGAAAGTGTTTTTGCTCCGCTGCAACCTCTAGGGTACAAAAACTGCAGGCCACAGGAACTGCATTTCCTGGTAGTAATCAAGAAACTGAACCAACCGCCAGGAACTTTCGGTTTCCTGGAACTTCACACACAAACGCCCAGGGTCTGGGAGGCGGGGCCCTTTCTTATAAACCTAATTTCGATTTAGTGTCACTCTCCCCCCAAAAGCGCTGTCAGCTCATCGCCAACGACACCAACGGCAGCTCCGCACGCTATGGGGGCACCTCCAGACCGTGAATCGTGTCGGCTTCGGCCAAGAGACGCCCTTCTCGCCCTTAGAGGGCAGCAGGTCCCGCGGATTCCCGCGCTTCACCACTCCCCCTCCCGGCCGAGGGCTCCGGGCCTCGGGAGAACTGCTCGGGGACGCGGGCTCACTCACCGGCACCCGAGGAAAACGTGGTTGGCCCAGGCCATGGAAAAGGAGATGAGCTGCTGCAGCTGCCGCTTGCGGGTCCCGCTCTCGGCGTCTGCGGCCTCCTCCCGAGGAGCGGAGGCAGCGCCGCCGGCGGGAGCCAGGTCCCCGGCGTTGCGGAGCAGGAACTCTCGGCGGTGGCGCCAGTGTTTCTCGGTCTCGCCGTCGCAGCGCAGCGCCTCCACCCAGGCAGCCACCCGCGGGTTCTGGCTCAGGTATTCCGACACCTCCTGCGCCATGTTGGGCCTGCGGGTCGCGGAGGCCGGGAGCGAACTCTGAGACGGGAGGCAGGCGGGGGGCAAGGGGCGAGCGGCCCTGTCACTGCGGCCTGCACCGGCAGCCCTCCAGAGTACGCCCCTCCAGAGGCCCAAACACCAAACAACAGCGCCGGGAGCAGCTGAACCGCCCACTTCCGCCCGCCGCCGGCTCCTTCCCTTTTATAACCTCGTCGCCGCCGAGCGCCCGCGCGTCCTTCCGGCGCGAGCCGGCTCTCCCAGGACGCTTTTCGGCGCGCGAGCTGCCGCGACGCTGCGGCCCTGACGGCAGCGGGGGGATGGGAGGCGGAGCGAGGGCAGGTGGGCGCGCGCCTCCCGCCCCAAGAGGGCGGTTCGCTTGTGGGTTCGCCTGGGGTACCTTCGACCTCGGCGCCCGCCTCCCCGTTCCGGTTCGGCTTTGTGACGCCGCGCGCTCCGGCTTCCTCGCTCCCGCGCCTGGCCCGCCGCTCCTGGGGGCGGCCGAGGGCAGCTGGGAATGCGGAGCGGCCGGGCGGGGCCGGCCGAGTCCTCGCGTCTGGCTCGCGTCCCCGCGGACTCGAGTTGCTGTCCCAACGCGACGTCTGGCGTCTCGGCCCCAGGACGCTGGTTTCGAGCAGGGCCAAAATAAAGCTCGCTTTCATCTTTTGCTTATAAGAAAACAGCAACCAGCGCCGTTTCGAGTATAGATAAGCGAGGCATTTTGAAGCCGTTCTGGTCTCGGGCCATTTAGGAATGTGCAGGTGCATATTCGCTTAAATTGTGCTAATAAAGATCAATGATAACTTTTAGCCAGTTCGATGTTGCCTTGTGGAGCCCAGTCTTTGAAACCACCCCTGACCCCGCAGATTTGGGTTTGGTTTCCGCAGTTCAACCCAGGCAGTACTGCTTCCTCCTGGGTGGATTTTTGGTCAGTATCAAACGCTGCACTAGGAACTTCTGTCTCCGTATTTCCTTAAATTTACAAACAGTAACGCCTAGCTGGACGGAAAGGAGAAGTGCATTTGTCCACGGCTCCAACTTTACCCTCTTAGAGCATTTTTTTTTCCTTTACATTTTTTTTCCATTTTAGAATGGCCACACAACATTACTCCCGACTTGCTTATGTTTCCAATATTCGGTGTTGAGATGGTTGGATGGCATCACCGACTCGATGGGCATGAGTTTGAGTAAACTCCGGAAGGTGGTGATGGACAGGGAGGCCTGGCGTGCTGCAGTTAATGGGGTCGCAAAGAGTCCCACTCGACTGAGCGACTGAACGGAACTAAACTGAGGCAGAGCCAACAGTTCCCCCCCCTCAGCCCACCCTACCGTCATTGGTTTTCACAAGTTCCCTTCTCTCCTTTTCTCTCTGAATCCTTCCTCCCTCTAGTCCAGTAATTTATCTCCTTATAGTGAGAAGGTATTTTTTTTTTAGTATGATATATGCTATTATTCTTAACTTCGTGGTCCGTGGTCTATGCCCTGAATCTTCATATGCAAAGTAAACCTTAAAAAAAAAAAAGTTATTTTTTAGGTCAAGCATCTGGCTCCTGCAAATAACAAATACACCAGCTTTCAGCCCAAAATGCTTTTATTATAATTTCAACAATCAGTTAAGTCCAGGCTCTATTTGAGAGTCCTTCAAAGCAACATGGCTGGAATGCTACAGGGCAAAAAAATAATAATAATAATTCTTAGTTTAAAATGTCCAGATATCCAGTATCCTTGCCTGGAAAATACCATCGACAGGAGGAACCTGCGGGCTGCAGTTCACGGGGTCACAAAGAGGAGGACATGTCTTGAGACTGAGCACTCTACAGTAATGCTAATATGAAATTATGTTATTTGAGGAAAACCACAAATAATTCAATTTACTAAGTTATTAAATACCCCAAACTAGCAATCATGTTTTCTCTATATTACAAATAAAAGTAATTTACTTTTGAATAGCTGGGAACATTGCAAGGTCATTTTTATTTCTTAGACTAAGTTTATATATACATACACATACACACATACACACACACATATAATTTGAAGTCATTAAATGTAAGTCATTAGCCTCTTTGGCGAAGTGGAATCTGCGTATTTTTTAAAAAGGAAGAGAAAAATAGCGTATATTAATGCACACATATGGATTCTAGAAAAATGATACTGATGAACCTATTTGCAGGACAGGAATAAAGATGCAGACAAGAGAATGGACTTGTGAACTCACGGGGAAAGGAGAGGTTGTATGGCACCGGGAGCTCAGTGGACCTCTGTGATGAGCATATGTGGGAGGGAGGCTCGGGAGAGATGCTCAAGAGGGAGGGGCACATGGATTCATATAGCTGAATCATGTGGTTATACAGGAGAAACTAACCCAACATTGAAATGCAATTACATTCCAATAAATTTTATATAAAAAAATAAAATGTCCAGATATCATCTAGGTGTGGAATCATACTTGCTATCTCCCCCATGCCAGACAATTCATCAAAGGAAAAACCAAGAGGCTCTTTAGTTCTTCACTTTTGCCATAAGGGTGGTGTCATCTGCATATCTGAGGTTATTGATTTTTCTCCCAGCAATCTTGATTCCAGCTTGTGCTTCCTCCAGCCCAGCATTTCTCATGATGTACTCTGCATATAAGTTACATAAGCAGGGTGACAATATACAGCCTTGATGTACTCCTTTTCCTATTTGGAACCAGTCTGTTGTTCCATGTCCAGTTCTAACTGTTGCTTCCCGACCTGTGTACAGATTTCTCAGGAGGCAGGTCATGTGGTCTGGTGTTCCCATCTCTTTCAGAATTTTCCACAGTTTATTGTGATCCACACAGTCAAAGGCTTTGGCATAGTCAATGAAGCAGAAATAGATGTTTTTCTGGAACTCTTGCTTTTTTGATGATCCAGCGGATGTTGGCAATTTGATCTCTGGTTCTTCTGCCTTTTCTAAAACCAGCTTGAACATCTGGAAGTTCACGGTTCACATATAGTTAAAGCCTGGCTTGGAGGCTCTGCCTGGACCTTTGGGAAAAGACAGTTCACTAGTGCCCTTGAACGAGGTTGGGCTGGCTGTTAGGACAGAAGTGAGCACAGAGAATATCAAGGAATCACCTGATTTGAGATTAAAGGGATCAGACAAACTTATTAAGATTAGGAGGCCACCACTTGAGACAAGATTAAGGGCTTCCCTGGGGGCTCAGACGGTAAAGAATCTGCCTGCAATGCAGGAGACCCAGGTTCCATCCCTGGGTTGGGAAATCCCCTGGAGAAGGGCATGACAACCCACTCCAGTATTCTTGCCTGGAGAATCCCATGGACAGAGGAGCCTGAGCAACTAACACATCCACACACAAACCGTGCTCAGGCCCTAGTCTTGGCAGAGACCCCCCCCCCCCCTCCACCTTTTGAACTCCTGTTCAACCCCCTCAGCAAGTTCTCCAGGATTGAGACACAGTTTTTCGAGGCAGAAGTCTAGTCTGTCTCCCTTTGCCTGGTAATAAGTAAAGCAAAACTCTGTTTCCAGGATTTGATTCAGCATTGATGTACCGGGAGGCCAAGCTTTTGATAACATAATCACAGTGGTGATGTGTGTGTGTGTACGTCCTGAGAGTCAGTGACGAGAATGTTTTAAGAAGAGCATAGTCCCCTGTGTCAGAGTGGAGGAAAATGGCTCCAGAACTAGTGGCCGGCTGAGCACAGTGGCCCCTCTCGAAGAAGCCGGCGCTGCGGTCCTGGGCTGATCCGGCCCCTGCCGAACATGGAGGACATTGGGGCGCTTCGCCCACCTCCTGCTACCCACCCACTACATCAGCAGAAACTGGGAGGTGGACGTGGCGGCCCAGCTGGGCGAATAACTCGAGGAGCTGGACCAGACCTGCCTTTCTTTTGACAAAGGCCAAACCACAATGAACTTCACTGAGGCGGCACAGCTGATGCGGGGCTCTGCTTGTATCTACAGTCAGAAGGCGGACTACCTTTACTCCCCGGTCCACCAGGCTCTCGACTTCATCTCTGACAAGAAGCAGGCCAGACAGCCCTTCTCTGAGCCGGAAGACGGGACCGTTGGGAGACCAGCTCTAGGGCCCCCCAGGAGGCGGCGCATAAGTTCCCGTCGGTGGACGACCTCTCTGACTCCTGTGTTAACGCGGCTCTCGGGGGTGACCAGGTCCCCAGTGCGACCCCCATCCGCCTCCTGCCCGATGCCCCGGTAGCCCCTGACAAGATGAATAGTAACCCCCTGTGCAGCCGGCAGGGCGAGGATTTTAGGATGAATCCCTCCCCAACAATAACGTTCTTGTTGGAGCCGGCGGGAGTGTCCCTCACGGAGGCACTGCCGCCAGGGAGCCAGCAGGAGCCTGGTAGGGTTGAGGAGCAGCCCATGGGAGTCTCTGCGTGTGGGAGTCCCGGCCCGGCGCTCAGCATCTCCCAGGCGCCTCTCCAGAGGGCCCGGTGCCCAGGAGCGGGGGTGCGGAAGAGCTGAAGAGAATGCAGAGCGGACCGCGGAGCCCGCTGAGGCCTCAGCCCCTGAGGTCCCCATCGAGCCCCAGGAGCCCAGAGCCGACTGCTGCCCACTCTTGGAGCAGAAGGAGGCCTTGGAGCCTGCATCCTGGCTGAAGGAGACCCCAGGCCCCTGGCAGGGCCTGGAGCCCTTCGACTCCCTGGACTCTGAGCCCTTCAGGAAAGCGAGGCCCTACTCCGTGCCCCCCGCGTGGAGGAGGCGCCAGGACGGAAGCGTAAGAGGAAGGGTACCATCAAGCTGCAGGACTTCCACCAGTAGTACCCGGCCGCCTATGCTGACCACGCCGACAGCAGGAGGCCCTGGCGAAAGGGCCCTTCCTTCGCAGCCATGGAGGTTCTGTACTGGAAGCATGTGAGGGAGCAGCTGGAGACACTCCAGAAGCTGCAGAGAAGGAAGGCGGCTGAGCAGCGCCACCTCCAAGGGCTCCACCTCCGTAGCCTGTGGAGGAAGATGGCCGGAAGGACTCTGCCGAAGACCCGGGAGCAGCAGATGACTTC